GTGCGGCGTACTTGGTGCTGTGTTTTGCAGGGTGAGGGCATTCCTCCCAACTCCCGCTTCCTAGACCACATGATGCAAGCTAGCGTGACTGCCAAGCAGTGGGTAACCGCGGAGGCGATATTCCGAGCCATGACGGAGAAGTACGGGCACTCGAACGTCGTCACCCGCCAGAGCACGATGGATTTCATACAGGTGCGGGTGTGATCGGCATCACAATTTATAAGACGGCATAGCTCCACGGTATGGTCGTAGCCTGCCTATAGGTGGCAAGTGGTGCTCCTTGTATTCTCGCAGACGCTCTCACGTGGCTTGCCAGATGGTTTTGACGAGCTTCGCTGTGGCAGCGTGTGTTTGTTCTAGGCGATTTGTGTCTTCCGCATGTGTCGACCGAATAGGCCATGGCTCCTTCGACGGCCGTTCTCTGTCGGCGGAAAGGATGTTGGCATTGGAACGTCCGTGCTGCTTCGTTTCGAGTGCTACGGACGGTGACGCAATTAACGCTTCGGAATTTTGCATCCCGTTGGCTTTCGATCGAAAAGGAGCAAGATGGAGGCTTTTTTTAGAACCTCGCGACGTACTGTACCGTTCACGCCTCTGATAATGATGACGTTTTGGGGACACATGACTGCACTGCGTTCTGTGTGCTGTACGTTTCGCGTCGTGCATGCGGTTTCTGCAGCAGTATTCTGGCAGCAAGCTGACTCTTCGCGTATGACGATTCGTCTTTCTGTGGCAATTTGGATCAAGTTTATTCCCGTGTTGCCGCCTTCCTCTGATACCATACCATTTTATCATGCACGTTTTTTTCTGCACGTGACCTGTCTGTCGAATCCTTATCCCGCAGTCAATGGTGATGCAGAAGAAGCTGCGGAAGGTTACTTCGTACGTGGCTAGGATTCAAGACTTGCCCTTGAAAGGACCCTCTCGCTCCAAAGGAAAAAAAAACACGATGGATACCGCTCTTCTCAAGTGGTTTAGGGCCATTCCAGGCGTCGGCTCCGAGGTAAGGGCGCTATCGACAGGATGGGTAAGTGTAAGGGTGCTACTTTTGTCGATTTCGCCATTTCGCCCTTTTCCCTCGGCCCTCGGCCTTGGTCGAAAGCGCCGTTGTGGCGTTAGCCCAAACTACATGTTGTTGAGCATGCTTCTGGCACCCAGCGGCGTTGTTGGGAAGTGGTAAAAGAAACCCGCGAGTCTCGTTTTAAATTTAATACATGACCCCGGGGACAAAACACCATCACCCCCGGGGTATCGTATAAAAAACGAGACCCGGGGGACAAAACACGGGCATCCCCGGGGTATCGTTTTCTAGACGAACCACCCCCGGGAACAGGACACAGCCATCCCCGGGGTTTCCACGCCAGAATTATTGCTACAAATGGGCAGCTAGGCACCAGGTGATGGGCGGGGTGCGGCGCCCAGACATCCACTTCTTCGCTGTGTTTTGGAGCGTTGCGGTGAGCACCTCAACTGGGCAGGGAGCCTTTGATAGCAGCAAGCAATGTTGGACTGTGCCCGAGGACGAGGCCGTGCTGCCAGCTGCTCGGAAGTCTTGTCCCAAAAATATGCGATATCAAAATAGCCAATGGCCGGTTGTGTGCAGCGAGGCAGCAGTCCAATCAAGTTGTAGAGCCTTTCCGGTTCACGGACACACACATAGGCGGAGGGAAACGTGGCGAGAGATCGCACGTAAGCTACATTGGTAGGCAATTGGCACCAGCAGCACTAGACATGATGTGGCGCTGGTTCACCTACGAGGAAGAGTGCGTGGGAGAAGAGTCGCCAAAAGTGCGGTCCCAGCAAAAACACCCGACAAGCTCATGCGGCAGAATCGCTGCCCCAACGTGACGTACGTGTGGTTACCAAACAGACAAGTAGATTAGGGCGATACACCATGTGCACCACGCGGACGGGAGCAGAACAATATATCAGCACACACGCGAGCTAAGCATCAGCAGGCGGTGCCAGCCGTCCAAGCCTCATCCATCCTCAGGCTTGCTCTACAAAACTGTTGACTTCATGGTTGGACTGCTGTCTCGCTGCACGCAACTAGCCGTTGGCTATTTTGACATCGCACATATTTGGGACAAGACTTCCGAGCAGCAGGCAGCACGGCCTCGCCCTCGTGCACAGTCCAACACTGCTTGCTGCTATCAAAGGCTCCCTACCCAATTGAGGTACTGTCCGCACGCTCCAAAACACAGCGAAGAAGTGGATGTCTGGGCGCCGCGCCCCGCCCATCACCTGGTGCCTATAGCTGCCTATTGTACCAATTAATTATGGCGTGGAAACCCCGGGGATGGCTGTTGCCTTTCCCCGGGGGTCTCGGTTAAAAAACGATACTCGAGGGATGGCGGTGTTTCGTCCCCGGGGTCATGTATTGAAAACGACTCTCGCGGGTCTCGTATACCGCTTCCCGTGCGCTGTTGGTGTGGTGCTGTGGTAGTGTGCGTTATGCTTGATTTATCTTGTCTGAATGCGGACCGCCTACGCAGGATTTTAAAAGTATATAGAAACAGAATAGCGAGGGGGTACGCAGACCCTAACCCCAAAGCGCGAATTGGATACTTGATCCCAAATGTTTGCTTAATCAATCATGCTGCGTAGACTACCGCTGAATGCTGCCTGCCCTGACCCTATACTGGTTACACTGAAAACGACCTGTAGTTTGTTTCTATTTTTCCTGTTATACACGACGAATCCATCTCTATCCATAGAAAAGAGCCCAAGATAAATCAGCAGTGAATCCATAGCGTCGGCGGAAGCTACTTCTTATTTTAGAAAGTCTAGTCTGAACATTACCCCCCAGAAAGACTACCCGTTCGAGACATATCCTCAGTCGAAAGTTGTGGTGTGGTGTAGTGCTTTCTTTTTCCGCCTTGTCTCAGTATTGTGTTTCCGACGTGTCTCTATGTAACTGGTTTTTTCTTGTTCGTTTTTTTCCAGGCGATGGCAGGGGTCCTGATGACCATGCTTGACAAGGGTGTCCGGCTGCACCCCGATTCTTACAGCGTCGTTATCTCCAAAGCTAACCAGGTACGCTCGTTTGTTGTTTCGTCCACGTGGGTTGCTGCTGTGAGCACGTGGCACGACATGTGGGGCGGTGGCTTATATTCGGCAATGCAGAGGGTGCTCGCAGATGATGGATGATGGATGATGCGGAGTTGATCGCAGCGATGGCGTTTCTTTTGGAATTTTTCTGTTCAGAGCAATCACTGAGGGTGTTTAGCCGATTTTTCTGACTCTTGCTCGTGTTCACCGTCCGAACAAAGTCTGCCGCCGAATGGTACAAGTATAGTAGGATCTGATCCATCGCGCAGCGTACAGTAGTTAGAAATCTCCTCATCTGCTGTCCGCATTGAGCCAATTCCATCGATATGTGTAAATTTTGCATTTCCGTCCGTTGCCGTGAGCCATTTTTTATTGGAGCAAGCTGTTGAGTGTTAGGCGTGGCACAACACGACACGGCTTCGCGAACTACTTCTGTACATACTTGCAGACAGGAAGAAGTTTTTTTTAGAACAAGCGCTGCTTGCGGTGAAAATCGGTGGCCTCTTTCTGCGGAAGTGTTGAAACATGAATCATGCATATCCGAACAACAAAATGGCAGGACGGCAACAAGGAGCTCTCGGGAACGCTGTACAAGATGCTGCTCGCCGCTAATGCCGCTCCGTCGCTCAGCGCGGCAAACGCGGCCATCAAGGGGAGTTCGACCATCGATGAAGCGCTGGTGAGGCGGTGGGGTCGATTTAGACGCCAGTCTTTTGTATTTGAGAATTAGTTTTCCTCTTATCCTCCTATCCTATCCTATCCTATCTGCTAAACTTTACATTTGGTTTTGCAGGCGTTGATGGCAACGCCTCGAGAGCACAGCATCTGTTTGCGTGCTTGATGGCGCCGATTGTGTCTGCTTGTACTCGTCAAGTTTTATCATCCATGCGGTGTCACATGGGTTCTCTACAAGGTGGTTCTTGGACTACAAGGTGCTTCTTGGAGTCCGGAGTCCTGTTGACCATCCCGTTGCTGCCGCGCATACGCCGTTTGTCTATGTACGTAGGCGACGGTGGAGACTTTGCGAGAGCAACGGCTGTCGCCGGACAAGTTCACGTATGCGGCGCTTCTTCACTGCTGTAGCGCCGCCGTCGGAGACGACCTACAGGGGCAACGAGCAACCGAGGCAAGGGGGTAGCATATTAATGCCAAAGAAAAGGAAATGAAGCAAAGAAAGCAACCAATGAGAAGCATTGCTCTGGTCAGACTAGTAGTACCTCAAAAGACGAAGGGCTTAGAACAGAACAGGAACCTGAGCAAGAAAGCAAGAAGTTTGAAGCGTCACAGTGGGCAGACTATTTTAACAGTGCCTCGAAGCACGAGGCAGGGCTTCAGCATCAGAAGAATGAAACGGAGCAAGAAATCAAAATGTCTGAAGCATTACCGTAGTCGTAGTCAGACCAACAGTACCTCGAAGCAAGCGATTCCAACGGCGGCCCAAGTTATGTCCAAAAAGGAACAGGCAGAGGAGGGAACATGGGGTGTTTGGGGCAGTGCACGGGTTTAAGGTTGGGCCACGACAGCAGTGCATCCTATGGAAGCTCGAGGCAAGGATCTAACAATAGAACCGGAGCAAGAAAGCCAATTATGTGAAGCATTCCCGTAGTCAGACCAACAGTAACTCCAGGCGAGTGGTTCCAAAGGCAGCTCAGGTTATCACCAAAAAGGATGAGGGAGAGGAGGGAACATGGGGTGTTTGGGGGCAGTGCACGGGTTTAAGGTTCTTAACGCTGTAGGCCACGACAGCAGTGCAACCAGGCTAGACTTGGCGAGACTAGCACGACGTCGAACTCATGCATGCGCGGTTGGGCTCGAGTGCTCGTGCGCACTTGATCTAATATACATCCAATCGACAAACCGCTTCCATCCTAAACCCTAATCCTACTCCTTGCTGCTCGTGTTCGTTACTGCTGCGGGTGACGCTTTTTTGTTGAAGGTATGGGAAGCGATGTACGGCGAGGGTATTCGTCCCCACGGCGGGATGCTAGCCTCGTACCTCTTGGCCCTCATGAGGTCCGGAGACTGGAAGACCGCTCTCGACGTTCGAGAAAGGTGTGTAGTCGCTGTGGTGCTGGTGCTGCGGGCGGTGGGCGTTATTGTGGTCACAGAATGCTATGTAGCTCCTGTTTTATTATCGTGGCATCAAGAACGCGTTATTGCAGTACCTCTCGTTGCATTCTGTGGCAATATATGTATGTATGTATGTATTTGTTTTTCGCACCAGGTTATGAGGGCGTGAACGGACTCTTTGCACACGACAAAGCTGGTGATAATATAGTGGGTTGTACAGGATAACTCGCCACGTGAAAATAATTAATTTCGTGATCCTTATCCTTCCTCAGTCCGTTCTAATATACGATTATTGTATGCGTACCGGGGGTTGTTAGGTTACTCGGGTTACTCTGATTTTGCGGTTCTAGATGGGAGAATTCACGTTTCAGAACACCCACGCTCTTGTTGTGGACCGTTGGTTATTGTCCTCCGAACGTTAACGGTCGGGCCTGCGCTTGATTCTCTGTTGAGCTGCTTTTTGTCTGTATTCTCTGCATCACGCGTGTTGTGGTATGAAGGTATCGCGGCGACAAGGAGGAATTTCAGCTGTCTCACGCGGAGAGACACGTCCACAAGCTTGACTTTGTCGCCAGAGAGGAGGCAGTGGTAGACGGTGTTGTGGCGAACGGGCTCGTAGATAACAAACAGCCCGGCCTGGCGTTGGCATACGTGCTGGAAGTCCTCAAGGCTCGGGAAGAGGTGAGTTGTTCATAGCTTGCCATCACTTGCCACAGCTTGTCATGTTGTGTTGCGAGACTGTGCGGGAAAGGAAGGCGAGTTGTTCATACTTGTCATGGCTTGTTCTAGCTTGTCATCGCTTGCCATCATTGCCCACTTCAGTAGGTACTCGTGTGTAGCATGTTTGTTGCTTACATATCAGGTTCTTCTGAAGTGTAGAGGGCGGAGTTATCGCGATATCCTTGGTACCGTCCCCTCCTCCCGGATGGCTCCATGATGTTGGTCAATCGTACTGTGGTCGTACGCGGTGTATTTCGTTTTTGACTTAGCACCATGCAGGGTAAGGTGAATTCGTGGGATATTGCAGTAGGAAGCATGTTGCGCCAATCACACACACGTATCTATTTGGTCGTTGTGTCAAGCTGTATCATTACAACTGCGGTTTTGATGTGATTTCAATGATTGTTGTGCCATGCAGTTTGGAAGGCATGGTGGTACGTATGTGTACGCCTAGTAGCATGACATTGGCGCTTCGAGACATTCATGTAGGCAGTCGAGTCTCTTTGATGCCCTTGCAAGCGTACGAAATGATACACCCACACGACAAGTTCCGTCCGCGACCATGTTTGGGTGTTTCGCCCATCGCATCCATCCGGTTGCGTTGTCTCCACAACAGGGCAGTGTTTTCCTCAACATGCTTTGCGATCGTTTCTTATGTCCTGATGAACACGATGCCCTCTCGACAGGAGGGTGCTAGCGGCAACGGCAACGATAGCGACTTGAAGCACTTCATCGACGAGGACAATCACACTGTACTCGCTGGAATAAGAGCTTGCAAGCAGGCCGGCTCGTGCGAAACCGCCATAGGTTTGCTAGAGGCCTGTGAGGCGAGATGGGCGAAGGGGCCTCTGGAGCGGGATGCGGGGAGCGGGGGCGGGAGCGAGGAGGGGCAGTGGGCCCAGTACGAGTGGCGAGCGATGCTGGTCAGAACAAGGCTGTCCAGGAGGTAAAGTATGTGAAGAACATTAACATTAATGAAGGTCGTCGGCACGATGCTGTGTGTTCCTCTTGACGTGGACGTTGAACAGAGAGAGAGAATGATGGACATACGATGCAGGCCGCATACGCAACGACGCAGAGAATGTAAATGAAAAGACCTGAGAGAGGAGGTACGATGACTGCTGTGCGGCGCTAATGAGCCGAGGTCGGCACAACTGTAGCAGAGCGAGGTCTATCGTAGGATGAACAACATGTCTTGGTTGCTTCTTGGGAAGACATGAGGAAGTAACCAGACCACATGTTGTGTGACCCGCGCTACGGCTTGTTCATGCTTTGATATTGAGGGGGGGAAAAGAGATGCCGGCAGAAAAACGATTTGGGTCCCGGGCTTTGCTGTTGAGCTTCGGATGGCATTACTTCTCTTACTGGAGCATTCGAAGGCTTGCCGAAGCCCCTCAGGCCTGGCCTTGCTGACACCTATCGAGGTTCATCTTCCGTCCTTACCACGACGCTCACTTTGCACCAAAAACAGCCCGTTTTCGCGGACTATGACTGTTGAATGCGAAAGTGATGCGTACGCCGCTCTTCACCATCAAAAGCTGTGCTCTCTTCATACGTCTCGATGTCTCCTCCTAGAACCTGTAGACCACGAAACAAGCCATATGCGCTGCTTCACCGGATTGTTTTCCCTTCGGGCAGGTCTTGACAAGTGTGACGTCGCGCCTTAGAATATCACCCCCACCTGTGTCCTCTGTGGACCCTTGTTGGCCATTTTGGACGCTTCTTGTGCTGGTGCTCCACGCTACATTGCCGTGTACGTCTACCTCCTTTGATGATGTCCGGGCTACCTTACACCTCCTATTTTTTTGCTCTTGTTGCTTAATTTTTTTGTTGTTGTTCGTTCGGTCAGACGGTTGTACGACTGCTTGATTTCTGTGCTGGATGAGAAGGATCACGACTTTGGCGACATCCGACGGGTGCTGGAGACAGGCATGAAGAACGGCGCTGTGTCGTTGATGAAAGACGTGAGGAGGAGGAGGAGCATGAGGAGGATAGGATCAATTGATTTACATGTTCACAGGGATAGTAGATGGCTGTACAGCAGTGGTGTGTCTCCATGTGGTTTTGGTGGTCGCATGGAGGAAATCTTGGGGGGTAGTCTCGGAGATGTGCAGTAGATACCTTGGAAATGCTTGTAGACATCCGAACAGAAACTGATTCTCGTTGGTTAACTAGTTGCAGCAGAGGAAGGACTTCGAGAGGAAAGACCCTCATCGTACGTATAGTGGTCGGTTCTACCGTGCGGCCGATTTCGCCGCGTCCGTACGCCCCAATTCGAATCGAATGGAATGATGGAGCACGGCTGGCGTTATTGTTGTTTTGTGGCGGCGGCTGCCCGGTTGCCGTACATTACATTTGCATGTCAGCAGCTACAGAGCAGCACGTGAGCGGAGGACATTTCCGTTGGGCACTTGGTTAGTCGTGATGCGGCTCCTGGCGAGCAGCTACTACACTGTGGTTTTGCTTGACCTCTTGCGTCGGAGTGACCCCCTCCCCCTTTCCCGAACTGCGTGGCCCCTTATTACCTGCAGCAACAAGGTGGAACGTCGGCGGATCAGGCGGTGGACTTCCACGGCTGGTCCACGCGAAGCGCCCGGTGCATCGTCCGCTGCATCATCGAAGACCTCACCCTCGGCCAGGACTTCCTCCATCGAACGGGCCAGTACGACCTCGGCCGAGTGGCCCTCGCCCAGGGTCTGCGGGAGTTCGGCAACGTCAGCGATAGGTGGCACGTTGACAGTCCCGACCCCAGGGGCAGGCGGCGGGAGTTCGCCGACGGTGTGACTCCGGCCCGGTTCGCGGAACGAGAATACGGTAAAGGCCGGAAACGGAATCCCGAGAAAAAGTCTCATTGGGTGAAACCCGAGGGAGGCTGGGACGGACGTGGGTCCGACGAGAGTCAGGCTAGGTGGTGGGAGAAGCAGAAGCGCTTGTCCTTAGTTGTGGGGAAGCCTAGACCTCCCCCGTGTATCCGTAACGCGGTGGAGGAGTTCTGCATGCTGGGGGTGTCCCCACCCCTGAGGGTGCAGAAGGCAGCGTCCAACCCCGGGATCTTGACCATCGAGCCGGAGGACGTGCAGGCGTGGTTGGAGCGAAATCCGCGCGTCTTGTCGTGATTTTTTTTTTTTAGTTGTGTTTTTACACGTCGGCGGCGGAGTCCTTGCAAACTGGTGTGACGGTGTGTACGTCATGGACGCGGCAACCGAGAATGTGCGGCCGTGATGTGGACAATCTTGCCCATCATAGAGCTGCTGCTACAAGCGTATTTTGAAGGGAGGGTTGGGAGAGTGAACACATCCATGTGTCTTGGGTGCTTGGTCGAACATTTGGGCTTGGACTTGCGTGCCTGTGGGCAACGAGCATCCTGAATTCTGGATGCTTCCGTACGAGCGCTCTGCCGACTGGAGACTGTGAAACGCATAGCGGGAACATCTTCTAAAAGTGCTGCTGATGGCTGATGGTCGTCAACGTACCGGTGACATATGCCGATGGTGCTGCCTCGTGTACAGCAACGAGGGGAAACTCTTGAGTTGGTTGGCATCCGAAGAGAGGAAACAGGCGGGAAACCAGGGCGTCCCGCAACAAACATTCATCGCACCGTCCCCACCAGGAACCAACGTCATCGACGGAAGCACCCGCCTTGACGCCTTGACGGGAATAATTTTTCATGTTTTGCACTCAACGTACCATGTCCCAGCAAATAAATGTGGTGTTGAGGAAACTAACAACCTACACCACCACCGCAGGAGGGGGTCCAACCCCCCCCTCCTATGTGACCCCGGTTGGGTCGTCTAGCTAGTAGAAGTGGAGGATAGGGGCCAGAGGGGCAGACGACAGAGTCCAATGATGGGAGAAAAACAAAAAAAAAACACCTAGGGGGCGAGTCAAACTACACATCGCCGCCGCCACTGCTACCAGCAGTCGGCGGCTGTACATTTAGGTAGCCCCGCTCTCTCAAGAACGACAAAAGCTTGTCGGCGCAGGCTTCGACCGAACACCCTTCCGCCAGTAGCTGTATCTCGGGGTTCTCGGGAGCCTCGTACGGAGCATCAGCAGCGATGCCAGTCATGTTGGTGATCTCGCCCGCCCTTGCCTGTTTCGTCGTATCATATCACGTTTGCATATCACAAGATTAAGATATGAGATGCAAAGATCTCTTTCTTGTGTCAACCGATTAAGATATAAAATACCTCTGTAAGATAGCCTCTTCGTACCCCAAGACGTAGGATATAAGGTACTCCGATAGCCTTGTCGTATGGTATGGTATGATATGGTATGATTGGCGGCACGCAACAGCATGCATACCCCGTTGTGTGCTGTTGAAATAGTCCACGATTTTTTTCCGGTTGTGACTGTGTTTGTTTGTTACGTCCTCGCTCACCGTGAAGCAATCGCGGGTACTTCTCGTGTCAATTGAACATCTAAGCTGGCGCGCTTGGAGGCACTCGTCATCACAACAGTCAACAACCCGAACGGCCATCAAGTCTCACATCGCCACCAACAAGAACACATACCTATGGCATGATACCTATGGAGTGCAGCGACTTCGACCACCGACCTGTATGTATGTGTATAGAACACATAAACACCGTTGCTCATATCCACGTAACACCATATTCTTAAATACAACACCGCATCAGCCTGTTTGTGCCAGAAAGAAAGCATCGCGCCGGGCACTACACAATCGAACCTCGGCACGCGGCTTTCACAGCAACTACGATAACTAACCACCGTTACCGTCGTACCTTCTTATACAGGTCTTTCGGGTCCCGCTGTTCGCAAGTCTGCAGCGACGTAGACACGTGCACCTCCACAAACTCCCCGCTGTTGAACCTGCCTCTTGCCCTGTCCCGGTCTTGGCGGTACGGACTGCTCACGCAACAAAATCGGCATCCGTCAAACGCAGGAGGATAAACGTAATCGAGGCAGAAAGAGCGACAGGAAGCAGAGAAACGAGGGGTTGTCAGACGTGAGCTACGGATGGTGAGGAGGACAAAAGAAGAGCCGAGAGAGGGACGAGAGTCGACAAAGCAGTACCTGGCGGGGTGTTTACCGTCATTCCTTCCCGTCATGTGTGTACTACGGAACCACAAGGAAATGGATTCCCAATCCAGCTATCCTGTCCCACGAAGGACCGAGATGACACAGCAGACAGCAGACAGCAGCCAGTAGACACCAGACACCAGACCAGTGATGGAAGGAATCAAGCTGAAGGTGCTGTAAGTTTCCCAGTACCAAGCATACATCATTGTCAGTCAGCATTGTCTACCTACGCTCGCGATAGAAAGCGAACTGTGTGTGATACAATATGCTACTCGTATTCTACAGATGAACTACTACTTCTCGCCGGGCTCCCAACACTTGCTTCCCCTAGTTGTGCGGCAGAAACACCGCTCGTCTCTTCCGCCGACCTTTCGCCTTTCGGTTCGAGGGTGAAACTTCTCTTCTTTACCCTCCTCAGTACCCAGACCGCCCGCGCACACGCCCCGCCCCTGCCTTGCTTTCCCTCCCACCTGATCACCTGATCACTGGGACGAGCACAATGATTCCGAGATCCACCATCAATCTGGCCACCTCCGCCACCCTTCGAACGTTTTCTCTCCTGTCTTCCGGCGAGAAGCCTAGACCACTGTTGAGGCCGTGGCGAACGTTGTCCCCATCGAGGATGTACGTGTGCCGGCCCTCTGCCGTAAGCTTGACATCCAAGGCGTTAGCCACGGTGCTCTGCCGAAATCGAAGACGGAAAAAACAAGCAAGCCCGGACTTTGGCGTGTTTTTTTTTTTTTTTCGAGTGACAGGCACTACTGTGAAAACTCTCGGGCACTGGCATGAAGCCAGGCTGTCCACCGACTATTCCGATGTAAGTCCGTACTGAACAGGGAAGTGTTGGTTTTCCTACTTGCATCCTTTGAAGTGACAGGGACGGTCGGAATGAGTTGGCGGACATCGGGTGCAAGAGGCGTGCGTGCTGCACGCGAAAATAACTGCATAGACTTTTCTTCCCACCATAATACTCATCCAACAGACAAGATGCCCACCCAACCGTCTGTGGTACGCCTGTTACCGACATGAGAACGATCATCTGCACTATGCGAGGATCAATAGCGTCACAGCTGCAATGAAACATGGTCGTGAAATACACCATGAATCAATCCCAACGCGGGCTTTGTCGTGTTAAATTAAGGCGCAGTCATACATTGTTTTTTTGTTCTGGAGAAAATAGTGGCTCCGACTGCACAAAATGTGAGGACTAGCAAGGGACTAGCCTTGATTGACCATACTGCTGCTGCGGTAACGTTGAAGACCGCGAGCAAGGCACGGGTGTGGGTGTGTGTCGGGAGCAGGGTGGGATGCTTCAGCCCCTTTGTCGATCGTACTGTACCTTTCCTGAACCACTGAGGCCCGTTAGCCACAACACGACCCCTCGTTGACCCTTGAGCTCCCACCTGCAACGTGGAAAACCAACATGCAAATTGCCCACGATGTCGGCACCCAGGGATCACGACAATGCAAAGCACCAATAACTTCCAGGACTGTGAGCCGCATTGGTGTTGTACAGCAGCACCATGGTATTTTTTGTCCTTGGTGCAATTGCATCGAACGTGCGCAGAGACGACCGAACTTTACCTGGCTACCCCTAGATATCAGTGCGGGGTAGGGAAATCGAGAGAAGGAGAGGTCGAACGGGCCCTCAAAGCCGGGGCCAACAACTGCTGGATACAGGGCACAGAGGAGTGCGGCGAAATAGGTAGAGTGCGGCGAAATAGATCCAAAGTCTACCCGGGGTCCCGGGGTAGGCCTGTCCTCCATCGGCCGTTTTATTTTCGATATAAATACACAAACTTTATTTCCATACTAATTTCAAGTAATTCCACCTTCTTATTCTCCGTCATACAAGCAAAACGGCCGATGGAGGACAGGCCTATCCCGGGGTGGGTGCGCTGTGCGCTGGGAATTGTCCGGGCCAAGTTGTTCTGCGAGTGGGTTCTCGCTTGATCAACACGGGGGCAACCGTGCTACATGCATCCATGTATAGGTTGACAGAGCAAGCCGATACGCCCCTCTTTCTCGTCCTCGTTCTATGTAGTGTACACCATACATGACTTGACATGGCATGGTAACGGCTTTACCGCGGGATGCGGTGCTACTGCTGGGCATACATGTAGCTGAAATGATGAAATGGAACAATCTTGGATTTCTCACCTTCGTTCTCGCGAAACATGTGTGCTATGCCACACCACATCTTCATGTACAGCACAATCAGGATTGCCTGTTGTGTTCTGTGCCATGCTCCACCTCGGTGGCTGGTACTGGTGCTCTCGAGCTGTGACGCTGCTGGTACGCTGGTACACATGCATGCGTGCAGTGTGAGGTTGATGTAAATTGGGGCTCCGACGAATGTATCGCGAAAATCACACAGGGGGGTCTCTTGTACGAGCCTTGGGCCACTCAGCCCTGCAGCACACCAAAGTCGAGGAGCAGGCAGAAGACGACGGCCAGCCGGCGGAGACAGCTGTGTTGCGGTGATCGTGCATTCCGTGCGACGTGTATTCCCTCTCCTCAAGCCAAGTTTAACGGCAAGCAGGATGGCGGATTCTAAGCGCGCCCGGATATCCAAGCGGGAAGGGGCCCTGGTGAGTGGAATCAATCTAACAGTCTCGCAACTTACAGGACTGCAGAAGTCGCGTTGGATCCCGGTGTGCTTGCCATTGAGACATAGAGACATTGAAACTATTGCATGACCGACGGTAGGTGTATCGCATCCATCGTATATCCTAGTAAGACGGTGACAAGTCTTTGCGTCCGTCCTGTGTACATGACGAGTACCGCCGCTGAAACCTTCACCCCTTCGCTTGCAATACCCTGTAGGGTTCTCAGCTGGGCCAAGCAATCATGGCTCTGTCTCTTGTCTCTCCTGCCCTGCCTCTGCTTTCTACTCTCGTTTGGTGCGTGAGAGAGCAGATGGCGCGTCTTTCGGCCAAGGAGCAGGAGGTTTACGAGGTGCAGGCGTCGGCCAGGGACCTGTACAGAGCCAGAAGGTACCACCGGTTCTTGGCGGCAAAATTTGCCGCATGTAGCGACCCCGCTTGTGACCGGATCCCAAGCCCAACTTTGTCGTTCACGCCCGTGTTGCCGATAGGGTAGGCCCGTAGTCATTGCTGTTCGACAGACTGGTTTTGCAACACATACCGCTGCCGGTGTCTCTGGTCGCCCCTGAAACAAAGCCTATCAGGGCTTAGCTATAGCTAAAGACTAGCAAACACGGCTATAGCTAGCTGCACGAAGAGTGTCTCCCGCTCCCTCCATCTCTCTCTTGCCTGTGGTCGCCTTCGCTTGCTCCGCGAGGTTTTGCGCTTGGACGAGTGCCGGCGATGCGATGCGCAATCACGGCAAAATACTTCGTCTGTTCGCTTTGCACCGACAGCAGCATTTAAGAAGGGCTTCCTTGTAGACCCGACGAACCCAGCAGACAAGACATTTACATCCAATTCCTTGTTGAGTCGTCCTCGAG